ATTTGGTCGCTTAATTATATAATTATTAAATTATTGTATTACTAAATTATTTGATTATTAAATTATTGAATTACTAAATTATTTAATTACTAAATTATTTAATTACTAAATTATTTAATTACCAAATTATTAAATTACTAAATTATTAAATTACTAAATTATTTAATTACTCAATTAATTGATTACTAGATTACATAATTACTAATTATAAAAATAATGTTGGACGTGAATTATAAGAGAATCATCCAGTTTCATTTCTTCATTATTCAGATCTTACTGATTCTTGAAGTGTATAATGAGAAATAAACTTTTCGTATTTAGAAATATACAAGTCGTTTTTTATTTTTATTATATTTGTCTGCATTATATTTCATTGAATCGATGATACTAGAAAGATTATTAGGGCAAACTAATTGATTTTCAACTATGCAATAGAAAGTCAAATTTGAGATATTCTTTAAATTATTGAAAATTATGGAAATTGATATCTCGTGAAAATGTTTCCACAAGACTGATTTATTAATTATAAGTACATACTTGTCCCCAATTATTTCAGTTCGAAATATACTAATGAGCATTCAGAACTGTGGTATTTCATAAGTGGCCGGGGGTGGCGTGATTATATGGCGGTTGCGAAGCACGATTATAAGAGACGAGCATTGCATTTTGAAGTAATTGTTCAAACAGTAAGATAAAGTGTATCTAATTACAGGAAACATTTGAATAACTTTGAATAATTTTGTTTTTACGTTCCCGAATAAATTACATATCATTTACTTGTTCTGTAATTCATCGTCCACGGAAGTAATTCTTAATTTGATTCAAACAATTTCTGAATTAACTGTGGCAGCCGTGCATACAGAATATCAGTATTCTAAGCAAGGGACTTCGATTGTTAAGAATCTTGATTGTTAAGGAATTCGGAGATTTTAAATAGAAATTTTTCATTTATTTCAACGCGTCTTAACTACATACCATGACAAAACTATAAGACACCTCTGAATTTCTAGTGTTTCTTAAAATCATGTAACAAGTTTTTATCATCATAAAATCGTAAAATCGTAACAAGGACGTGTAACAAGTTTTTGTATATGAACATATACAGAGTATCCCTTCTGTAGTAACTTATAATAAATTGACTAGTATTCGTGCTGTTTTACAGTAATGATAACAGTTTATAAAAAAAACAAAAACGGGCGTGACAAAACTATAGGACATGTTGGGTTTTCCGTAAAAAATCAACACATAAAATTCTTTTTGTTACTTTGTAACAATGTGCATTTCTACTCTTCTTTTTTACTACTTCCAACATTCTTTATGGCAAAGATTTATACAGTTTCTAATTGTATTTTGTTTCGAATTCTTCTCTTGTATCCTCGATACACCTTTTTAATACTCCTATGGCGTTAAACTGCTTTCCTCTTCAGTATACTTCCTCAGCTAGCATTTCCGAACAGTTTCACTTTAAATACTGCACGTCTAATAACAATAATTGCAAACAAAAAATCTCTTTTCGTAGTGTTTAGTTTACCGATTCATCAGAAACTTATGATTTTATCACGGATCGAGTTTTTCCCTGAGTTTTCGAGACCGTTAATTAACGTATTTCATAAAACTGAGCGACATAGAGTGTAAACGATAATGCTACCAGTGAAGGAAAAATAAATTTCTAAGTTACATAGAATTTTTCGCAATGTTCGTGAGTGTCTTATATATAGTTTTGTCGTAGAACATGGAATTCTATGAAGCATTCTTTTCATTTAAATGAAAAGTACTTTCAATCGTACTGATGACTTACGACACAACTAATTATAACTGGGTACGAATCATAAATATTATAACTGACATAAACATCATTTTAGGTCAGCTGAATTTCCTACCTTTCACTCCATATATTTTGTATGGTCATAATTACAAACGGACGTATAATATTAATTACATCTGCGTACAATATTTTATCTGTGTTAATTATATCCATTGCTTTAAGGCACACTTTGCTTTTTTTTCTATGCAAGTCTTACAACTTTCTACGTATTGATCCATTCACTATGATTCAGAAACCGGGAAATAATTGTGCAATAGTATGCGACTGTACAATAAATTCTCTTTAATTGTCCCTCAGCTTCTAAACGAATAGAAGATACGATTATTCGAGTCGCGAGGCTCAAACAATTGTTTCTCTACTTCCCAGACTGTTCACATTTGTTTAGAAACTGAGAGAGACGATTGGAGAGAATTTACTGTATTCAGACACGAAGATTTCGTTTAAAAAATAAAAACATCGACGCATCCACACATTTGTCAAAATCACGATTTTATGAATTCACAGTCAACATCTGCAGTATTCATGTTTTATAAAGATGTATTTGACTGCATCTCTATAAAAAATCGAATATTCAAATACCAACCCATACTCATTTTTGACAAATTAGAATTGGACATAGATTTCTTGGTTGTACTGTGAAACTATAAGATCGGTGTACAAGGAAAACAAACAATTTCAAAATATTAATGAGTTAAAATACTGTCTTAACGATAAATGCAGTAAATTGTTACAAAATTATATTCGTAAATTGTTAAACCCTTTGCACTCGAGTGGCGCCACTGAAATTGCTATATCACGTTCCAAGATAACTTTTATATTATCAAAGTTCGGATTTCAGAAATCTAAATTAAAAGTCTAACCGTCATATGAGTCACAAAACTCAATTACATATGCATAAACTGCACTTTGTCGTACAAAAAGGATATACTAGAAGTCAAAAAAATTATTTTAGATTTACAGTTGAAATGGTTTCGAGTGCAGAGGGTTAATTCTTTGGCAAGAAGAATGCTCGAAGTAATTGAAAATACGAGATCTTACACGCTACTTAGAAGTAAAAAGTACAGATAATCCTTCAATAACACGATACTTTGAGAACAATTTCGATATAACTCAGCACAAACAATGGCGCAGTCCTTTTAAAACAAGGTACATATTCTTATAACACGATTTTTTTCAGGCAGAGCTCATATTGGTAGAAGAAATGTTTCCATCGCGCGTCACGATTTTTATTGACACAAGCAGGACGTTCACCTCGTACATATAGTAAGGGTGAAACAAAAATCTTGGAGAAAAAAGAGGGAACCGCTTACGGAACGCGAACCCACGACCTTTCGCATCGTAGCTAATCGACTTCGTCAAACACCCACGGAACCCCCACGTCTCTCCAGCCACCCTCTAGGTTTCTTTTAACACGGTTTCGATACAGCATGAAATGAATTGACCGTATTGTTATGAAAGATATGTAATTGTAATTGTAATTTTTATCACGCATATGTTTAATGTTTGCTAAGTAAATACTAAATTCATGAGCATGTAGCATCATTTCGTTAACGTTTGCTACGAGACTTTTGTTGATAAATGTTGTAAAATGAAGAGATACTTAAAAGCACTTTATTCAGAATTACAAATTCTACTCCAGGACATTCGCGTATCCAGTAAAATAAATGATGGTGATATATTACAAAACTACAGAGATACAGAAAATATGGTGTTGGTGAAATCCCGAGGTGGCAACCTCACGGTTCGGTTTCTACTTTTGAACTGACCATCGTCTGAGCCGACTTGGGCCTCTGTCGCCAACGGTTCACCCTCACAAAAGGGCCATAAAACAGTTCGATGGGTCATCGTTGAAATTCCAACAATAAATACAAATACGGACAGCATAGTCCCAGTTTAGCGCAATAGAGTAGTGGAGCCAGTTACTGTGAGTTGAACAATTGCTGTGACTTTGGTTTGTTTTCGGGCGTAATTAACTTTATATTTATAGAATAAGACATATTAAATTTATTTATTTATTCAACGTAACTAAAAGAAAAAAGCATAGACAAATTTAATATGCTTTATTCCATAAATATATATTTAATTAAAAGAAAAAACAAGGCACAGCAATCGAGATCACCTCAAGTATCCGGCTCCACTACCCTATATTATACAGGGTGTCCCAGGTTTTAATGTTCAAACTATGTCAGTATATTCTATGGCACAAAGTAAGAAAAATATGTTATGTAAACGTAGGTCATATAAAGCTTTATTAAGAAGTTATAACAAAAATTCAGAATAGGATTAATAATGCGTTCAATGAAATGAAAGAGAATAGAAACGAAATTCGCACGATCATAAATTCGATCTTCGATCGATGTCAATCATGTGTTGTCAACAACGGTAGACATTTCGAAATGTATTAATAAACACAGCTTACATAAACGCAGGGCAATGCTCACAGTAACAGCAAGTTGATTACTATTCCTATCCTGAATTTTTGTTATAACTTATTAATAAAGTTCTATATGGCCTATATTTACATAATATTTTTTTCTTACTCTGTGCCATAGAATACACTGACAAAGTTTGAACATTAAAACCTGGGACACCCTGTATCACCGCGAGACGATGTTAACACACCATTCGCGCAGTATTTAACGAATTCTGAATTTATTCTTTGTCCAGTAGACAAATGTTCATTCGATCGTACATTCATTTAACAGCCTCGAATAAAATCGTATCTGTCATCTTGATCTCTTATTCGTCGTCCGAATGAAATTTCGCAATGTTCGCGGACGATCCCTTACGCAATTGGGAACGCACCGGGCGCGCGTAGTGACGACGCGGCTCCGATCGCGGCAAATTACGATCTCGCATTACCGATTGGCGGCGCGATGCGGCGCGTCGTTCGGGGAAAGAACAGGCGAGAGGAAAATCGGCGGAAAAGCGTGGCAAGGGGGCACGCAGCGGGAAATCTCGGCCGGAACCGGAAGCGGCGCGCGGGAAAAAGAGGATCGCTCCTGCGACCAGGCCCTCTCCCGCCCCACCCCCCGCCCCCCGGAAGTCGAATAGAAAGGGAGTGGAAAAGAAAAGGCAGGTCGGAGAGCTCCCTCGGCGGGCCCGTGTGCCCCTGAGTCTGCGCGATACAGTTTATTTAAACCGGTCGAAGGTGGGGATACGGTACTCGGCTCGGCTCCGCTCCGCGGCGCGGCGCAGCGCGGCGCGTCCTCGCGGATCGCGAGCTTTAGTCGCACGATCTCGTCCGGAGCGTCGAGCCGCTCCACGTCGCGCTCGAGAGAGAGGCCTCGAGGATCGATCCTCTCCGGATTGATCGCGCCCCGCGCCCCGCGCCCGCCGCCCCGCCACCGAAAAATCGCCGGATGGTGCCCGAAGGTCCTCCAGTTTTGATCCCGGATCGATCGATCGCTTGGAACCGGCTCGGGACCCGGGACACGCTAGCCCGCGGCGCAGAGGATCCTCCTTTGTCAGTGAAAGTTTCGCCGACGAAAGCTCGATAACGTCTCGTGGTCATGGTTCTCGTGAGTTCGGTGCAGGTGAACCGCGTGCGTGCTACACCTCACGCGTTCGGTGGTTCCTGAGCGTGTCTTCTTCGCAGGCCTGGGATCAACTGTGAGAAAGGTGGGTGTGCGTGCGAGGACGCAGGTGCAATCGCACGGCCCTGTCTGCCCGATCGGTACAGTAAGTCCTCGATTAACAGGATTAAAAGCGGCGGACGAACGGCCCGGATCGATCGAGGCTTTCGGATCTCCAGAGGATCATGGTGATTCACGGGACGATTGCTTCGGGAATTATTACGCGCCGGTTCGGGACTCCGGACCCCTCCGAGCGGGTACATGTCATTGGGAATAATACGTGGTCTTAATTCTTCGGAGAACGTCCTCCCTGTAACATGAGAAAGATATTAGTAATCACGGCAGACTATATGGGAGACGAGTTGGTTATTAGTTTGAGAAGTTCGTGATAGAGGGTATATCTTGTATCAAATACATGTATCCTGTTGGATATCGTCGATCTGAAGCATGCGTTTTGCATGATCTAGATCTATCGATGTTTCGAACTGGCTGGACATGTGGACTGGGAACGCGTACTCGTGATTTTGTGGAGAACGTCGTTGTTGTAGTTCCAGGAGGATTGTTTTAGAATCGTCTTGTTGGCTCCTAGTTGCTGTCTTATTGACTTCTAGTTATCGCCTTGCTAATTGCTAGTCGTACTATCATGACTAGTCAGATTATTATGCGAGAGACGAGTCGAGGTCATAGTTCGAAGAGATTTGTGACACATGGTCTTGCAACTTTGTTATGTATGTTAACAACGTATGTTTCGTTGAATTCTGTTGACCTGGAAGGAAGCAACTCGCACGATCTGTAATTGATCGGAACAGGTTCGACGTATGACAGGAAATGTATGCACTTGATTCACTGTGGAACGTAATCTCGCGAGCATTAGTAGGATAGTGGACGATTAATCGCAGTTCGCTGAAGCTACGAAAAACGGTCTTCGTGACGGAAGTTGGTTTTATCGTATTCTAGTATTCTAACCACGTGATCCGTTTGATATTATCGATCATTAAGGAGCGTATCTTTTATGTTCCGAGTCTTACCGGTTCTTCGGTGTAGCATCAACATGTGGCAGGGGATGCGTGTCTTTAATCGTTTGCGGTGCGTCGTTCCAGAAACACGAGACACATATGATTTCGTTAATTAATATTCATCGAGACTTCCAAGGGAGGATCAACCATGATTAACCGTTTAAAAATTTACCGATAGGAGAATGTCTTGCAATTTTCTTACATCGGAAACTGGTGTTTTGTTCGATACCGATGATCCGGGACCTAGGGAGCGTAATTTGCACGTTCCAATCATGCGGGTTCTAAGCAACAGGACTTACATTTGACAGAGCGCGCATACTTTTAACTTTCTACGAGACGTTCTGAGGCATGAAGTGACATTTTGATGAAAAAATTCTTTGATTAGCGCTTTAAGATAGTGTTAGAAAGAGGAACTTTAATATTATATCTATCTCATCAGATAGATCTCTATTATGTTTTGATGCTTATCAATTTTTTTCGGTGTATGAACAACATGTAATAAAGAATTTAAACCATTAATTCTTTGTGGGACATTTCTGAAAGACGAATAAGAAATCGTCTTGTTGGATATTGTTGATCAGGGTTTCTAATAACTTGAAAACATTGTAGTATTACTACCAACTAATTAAAATAAATGCG